TTGAGGTGGTGATAAGCTCGCTTCTTGACTAAACGGTATACATAGCTTATTTGGAAATTGGAAGTCGTTAATGTTCTTTGTTCTAACAATTTTATGATTTATTATTTTATTTTCAAGTTAATATTGTAAATCAAATTTCAAGTTAAGATTGACAATATTATATTATCTACGATTATTTCTTAAATATCATAGTTCAAAAGTATATAGTCATTTTACTAATATTATAAATGCGAAAGTTTAGATGGATGTTAGAAGGCATCTGCAAAACGGCTACATGGATCTCTCTGTAATTTCTCAAAGATGTACAACATAGCATGGAACGCATACAGACTACTAATTAAGTCTTATTTTAATTCCACGCGGACAGAGTCGTGGGCGACATCTAGTTGTTACTAAAAGCGTTAAAATAAGATAATTTGGAGCATTAACATAACATTAAATGTGATATTGTCCGTAACTGGACTAATATGAGCCTCAGTGAGACAAATACTTTTATTTTATTACTAAAGTTATCTCAACAATCTATTAGCTTTTATAGCTGAGGCGGGCAAATAAAACTGTTCATTAAACATACAAATTTACTGCTGCCAACTGATTACGTTTATTTATTTGAATTAACGACATTTACTCAAAGTTAATAAATTTTTATGTTTTTTTTTTATTTTACTATTAGTATAATAATATCATTGGCAAATAAATATGTTAGTTTTTATCTTATTAATATTATAAATGCGAATGTTTGTGTGGATGGATGCACGGATCTCGCTAAAATTTGGCATATATGTAGAACATTGTCGGGAAGAATACATAGGCTACATTTTTTTATCTTAAATCCGCGCGGACGGATTCGCGGGCGACAGCTAGTAAAACATAAAATGTTCTATAGATGTATATGCGGTGGAAACTCATAGTAAGACAACTACAGTAACAACGGTGGTGCGCTGCATTCCGTCTTGAAGACATTATCAGGGATAATCCGGTTTAAATGCGGATAAGAGGATTTGAAAGGAGGTTTTATGTGAACATATAGCAATAGATATCACGTGGCAATTGATCTTGTTATGTTTTATTAGGTATATAGAAGGCTTCTTTATATTAGTATCGTAATTGATGTTACTTGTAGAAAGACAAATATCTATAAGTCATTATCAATGTATAACCCAAATTAGAACAATTCTTCTACTTCTGAAAACGTCTACGTCCAGATCTTTTTCTTTTAGATTCTTGGAACATTGTTAACTAAATGGTATGTGGTCTTGTGTAACTCCATGCGTTGGCATGCTTACGATTAGTTTGGCAAAAAAGACCTAACTAGATATTATAAAGTTTCATATATGCCTGAAATAATGTTCTGGTTACTGTTACCAACTATTACATATGAAATACAGCTTATTTAAATATCATCCATACATTAGCAGCGAATGTTTTACTACAGGGTGGTTAATAACCACGTCTGTTGTTAAATTTACTGACAGCAAAGCTAAAACAGTGACAAGAAATAATAATTTATTTAGGCAAGTTGAGCTAATGCGAATATCTGTCTCACAGTTGAATGTAAACCATTGACATTGTTCTCATTATCATTGATAAAACAAGACAACAATGTTATGTTTCAGTTTAAGTATTTGGCATTTACCTCCCCCTTCACCCTTAACTTAGGGTAGGCTCTGAGCCCCTCGGTGGGGACATATTGAGAGCTGATGATGATTTGGCAGTAAAACCGATTAATCACGAATATTATAGAAAGATTTCCTTAATTCTACTTTAGAATAACAAACTGAAGAATTAAAAAATCGATTATATTTCTTTGAATCGATCGATATTTGTTTATTTCATCAACTCGCATCATTTTTAAACTTCGCAAGTCGCATCCATATAAGATTTCGTATGCTACCAAAATGCTTGTTGACCTGCTCTAGTTATTCTAATGAAATAGAACATTAAAGCACTTTGCATTTACAGAACATCCTGTTTAATTAAGTCCAAAGGTTAAAGAGTATATTATATTTTCCGGCAACATGGAACTCAAAGTTAAAATATTCACAAAATATCGTACACTCGCTGAGTCGGGCAGGTCACAGCCAACAGTGAATATGATTAGCCGACCCAAAAGTTACAGCAAAGTAAATATTGAAATCTTTCTCAACTAGCTGCGGAAGGGTTAATGTTCCACAAATATAAGAACTTCAAATAACATGTACTTGTACATTTATACGTATTTATAATGCAATAACGATGCCACAGATAAAATAATAAATTAAATAATTTAACTTAAACCAATTTACTGTTGGCAGGTTTTTAATTCTGACAATACAGAAATGTTTGTCACTTCTTGTCTAATTAATAAGCTAGAAGCAAATATAAAAAGGGGTTGAAGGAAAAATTGTGACAAAATATTACGACAAGAAACATAAAACGTCAAGTAAAATTGTGTACTTGGGTATATTTGCGAACATGCCTCATGGGTTCTATGTGTCACTTGCTTAGATAAGAAAATGCCACATCAAAATGAAACAAACTTGATAAGGGAATTCGTGTTAAATGGCTTTTAGGTAACATGTAATTTCCTTTAGAACTTCCGTATCTTTTAACTTAGTATAGGCGTATAAATATTTTAAAACTGTAATTACAATCATAAGTTTACTTACATAAATTGTGAGACAATGGTCATTCCTATATCCTATAAAAACATATAGAACATTCTTATATGGGAAAGAAATCTTATTTAATAATTAAGAGATTACAAATTAATCGTCACATAAAAGCAAATATATTCCTCATTGAATATAATACTTTAAATGATAAACAGTTGTAAATATTAATTGTTCGTATTAAAAGATCTTGTAGGGATCTATCAATTTAAATAAATTGAAGCACACGAAAAGCGCGGGAAGCGGAAATGCTTAACGAGATGTGTCCGGTGGGGTCAGGAGGGACAGTGGAGAGGCAGGGGGATGGAGGCTATATGTTTAACGCGACGGTTTTAAATGTGATCCAGGACAATCGACGAATTTATTCGTAATAAATACCGGACGTTTTGTATTATTGGAAAAGTATGAATTACGTTCGTAACAATATAAAATATTTATTGAAATAATCGGATACAGATATCGATTTAAAATATTTGTTATGAAACGGCGCAAAGCAATTGATTGTTAATACAAATTCGATTTTAATATTTTGTTTCAAAATAGATCTTTACATCTCAGTTTTTTAAAATGCGTATGCGAATTGTTATTAATTTTATAAGCAATATTTAAACCACTCAGGGTCATTGTTGTGATTTTATTAAGTATATAAAAATTGTAGTAGCATAGAACGTGTTAAAGTAATAAAGATATCTTGCTAAAAGATAGTAAGCGAAAACTTCTAAATTTCATTCTCTAAACTTCGTATAGAAGTGTAATCAAATTCGTCTATAACATACAAGTTTGTGCTAAGTTGAGTGCATAGTTCTAAGTTAAAGTTAGTGAACGTTTGCAGTCCCACCGGTGCGCGACTGTCCGGACCTTAATTGGATAGATCATAAATTTTCAGGAAAGTGTATGGAACTTGTTACAGAGTTTTAGTTTGTGTGAAACTCGGTAAATATGAGAATAAACGGAAAATATATATTTGTAAAGCTGCGGATAACATAAACAAAATATTTTTGGATATTAATCTGTCATATTTAAATAACAAGAAATATATTATGTAATTATCCAAGATTTTTGTCTTGAAAAATTAATTGTAAAAGAGATTAGTCGTGAAAATTCGTCATATGATGATTAAAATTACTAAAAATAAGTTAGATTTACCGTGGGTTTCTAAGACCAAAATCTCCGTGAAAAACATATCGTTATCTCTGTCACTATCTTTGATAAAACAGAAATAAATAATGGTTTTTTTAACGAGGATTATGATCTTAGAAATCCACGGTAAATATTATATTTAACGTAGTTTAGCTTGTTAAAAACTTACCAGTTAAAGTAGTGTGTATACACAACCTCTCTTGGGGACACCTTTAACTTTCAAGTTAGGAGAATACTTAAAGCTCGGGTTTGACAAGTCAGACCCTTTTTACGATACCGTCAACTATATCCTGTAAATTTAATACTGACGGCGACGCAGAGCGTATAAAGTTTGATGGAAAATTTTGTTTTCTTATTGCTTTCTTATATTCAGTGTTGTATAACGTTTTTTTTTTGGATAATTTGTAAAGCTATAAATTAATTAACCACTATTTAGAATAGAACGTATGTACATATAGACAATAAATGAAGATATTTCACGTGTTTGATTCATTCTAATTAAAATAAAAAACAGGGTGAAAAGAAAAAGTCCGTTGATTACTGACATAAAGAATCTGTTATTTATTTCTGTACAATAGGTTTAATTACACATATAAAATTTATATTATAATTTTTATCTACAAGATGTTCATTGAAGTTTTAACTTATGCTGAATTACTTAATTCGTGTAACATAAAAAGTATAATTAAAAATAAGAAGAAATGCAGCATTTAAATTTGGAATATACAACCATGATGTAATAAAAATAAGTTTTTCTTTTAATTTTCAATTACAAAAACTATAACAAAATATTTGATTTGAGTGTTTTTAGGACAGTAACATTTACAAATAAAATACCTTAATTAAAAAAAAAAACACTAAATGAAATTTTTTTATTCTTGGTTTTATCAAGCGATTTAAATTGTAGTACAAAATTACTCATTATTTAGACGTTATAAAATAATTTATTTACAATGTTGGCACATCTGCTGTTATACAAATAAATATAAGAATTCAACACATACTTTGATAAAATATATATAGATGTTTAAATAATAAATATAGCGCTCGTCCGTAAATATAAAAACAAATCTTAAAAGGCAATAATTCGTTTAATATTACGTAGTTTCTCTAAAGATTAACATTTTTCAATATTATAAAATGTCATTAAAATCTGTAAAGTAAATAATACTTCAATGAATTAATATAAAATTGAAACGCTATCACATAATTTCGTATCATAAAATAAATTGTCCTGAATAATTTATATCTTTATTTTTATATTTACGGGCGGGCGCTGTACGGATCAGATAAAGTAGACATTCGAGAGATATCTCTCCTCCCTTGAAATTAAAGCAAGCGGGAGAAATTTATTTTATTTATATTATATTTACAATTATTATAGTAATTTAATTATTTACAATAACATTCAGACACTGATAAATTGTGATCGCGCAGTAAAATATATTTACAGATTATAAAAGTACAATTATCATTTATGAAATTGAATAATTAAAATAATGAAATAAAAAAATATTTTATATCTGTGTTCCTACACGATTTTCCATCACACTAAAGGCATTTACGTAAGCAGTTTTTTAGTATAGATTTCTCATATAAATCTAAACTAAGTGCCTCCTTTTAACTGCCCTTAGTGTGACAGTTATTTTTTTTAATTAATTAAACATCTATAATATCACTTTCCCTGTCCTTTGTAGCTTTCGTGACAATTAATTTAAATGTGTTTTAGTTTATTTCCTAAACAGCTCCAAATTTCATTTGAGTAACAAAGGCACTTGTCTCCCGAGCAGAAGCAATAATGTCCAAACAAACATCTCCCTGTGATACCTCACAGAAGTGCCCTCCGCCACCGCATCTGCCGAAGTGATTGCTAAATGTAATTACTTTACACTATACATGTACGCAATAAACATAACAACACTAACAATCACATAATTGCTTTTTAAATTGAGATATAAGAAACGAATTTTCTGATCAAATTACACGTTGTTATTTACAAGCTTTTGATAGGCCTGTTGTTGGGATATTTTAGTTTTTAATTTTTAAGATTTATTATCTTAAGGTCTCAACGTTAGTTTAGGTAGTGGTGATGGGTTCTTAAATTGTGTTATGTACTTACTATTTTTACTAAACATATAGGACGATATGTGCGGACGTGCCGCGACGTACAGTCGCACGGCCATGCTACGCACGTGCGGCGGTCGCGTGGGCAACGTGGCCCGACACCGTAACGACAGGTAGCCGCGCGGTGTGGCGTAGTCCTCTGGGAACACATGCAGCGTGCGCCACGACGCACGCAACCCGTCCCCATCAGCCCCGGATACGTGGGTCACGCCTGTTATCAACGGATCCTAAACACATACAAGTTATTTTATCCTAATTCATGAAAAGAAAGAAGGTTTTTTTTCTAAAAATATTTGTTAGAAGCAAACATTAGTTAATGCATCTAAAACTTCAAGCAGTTATATTGTATTCAAATTCTTCAAAACTAATTTTTCGTTGAAAAATGTTATTAAGAATAACAATTTAAAATCTTGTTCATGAAATAAATACAAAATTAATGTTATTTTCAATTGTTAATGCAAACATTTTCGAAAGTTAAAATTACGGGAAAATACATGATGATATAAAGAAGAAGTAATTTTATTTTCTGTCCACATATACGAGTATGTATGTTTTAACCTCTCCAGACGTAAACTGTGGAAGTAACAACATCTATGACAGTACTGAAATTTCATCCCTTTTCCGCCGCAAAAACATAAAGGATAAGCTTGGAATTGCTTTTCTTATTTAATTTTAGGCGGGTCTTTGTCAACAAAGTACTAGTTTAGATTGGATAAGACTTTGAAACAAATACAAGGCTTAATTATATTTTGTATAAGATTTATCTTTTTAAAATACTACGTAATACAAATAATAAGATTATTAAATGATTTGAGATAATATGTATCGTTATGAAGTTGATTTTGTAATCTGTTTATAAAGAGCAAAGCAGTGGCTTCAAAACCGCATTTAAAAAAAAATAAACAATGATTCATTATTTTTATAAATCCCGATCTACTCTTTCTTGTTTATTTATTAATGTTTTGCTTTATATTTGTTAATTAGGTTGTGTGTTTTTTATTTCTACTTTCTATTGTTTTGTTTATTCCTTTTTGTCTAATTAGCGGGAGAGTTCTTTTCCTATTTCACCTTTGGCATTTATAATCGAAAACCTTAAACTGAAATAAAGGTATTAACCTACTTTAGCAAATGCTGTTTTCATGTTTGACGATCGATAGTTTTAGCCTAGTTCTAGATATTGATAGGTTTATATTATTCAGTCGTGAGTTCAGAGGCGGTCATTTATGTCAACCTTATAATAAATTTAGCTTTTGAATTCATGATTGAATATATATTTTAGAAGTTAGAAGCCATCATTAGGGTTAATAAAAAACAGTACGAGAGTAATATCACATCTAATTTTCCGCCTCATTTGAAAGTTTGGTAAAATAAAATTTAAGGCAAGCTATATTATAAAAAAAAGTAGCAACCTCCTGCGGCTCCGAGTCGACAAACCAGTCTATTTCTGCAGCCGGCAAGGAGTAGTCTGAGGTACAGTTGACGAGTGCCGTCTCCCCCACCTGCACCAGAGTTGGCAGCCCCGTGATCAAAGGGTCGTACTCCGGCAGCACTGGAAATAACAAACTGCGTCAGTTACATCACAACTCCATCAGAACATCTTCGACCTGGTTATTGAAATCGTTATGGTAGCCATCATTAAATTTATTCTCAAGTAAAAGATATTACGTCATATGGAACACAATTATTATATGTTTATTGCATGACTGACAAGAGAATAATGGTTATGGCTTGTATCCATTGTGGCCTATTATAGTGTCGTCTGATGTATGATGTGTACAGCACATATTGAGGTTGGAGTTGTTTGTTTTTAACTTATTTATTGTAATAGAATGTTACCGGCTAACGTCATGTTGGCAGAACGCTTGTCGACCGCGAAGCGCGGCCCTTCGCTAGAGACCTCGCAGGTGTATCGTGCTCCGCCCCGCTCCGGCCGCACCAACACCACGCACGCGCTCAGCGAACATGAGCTGTTGCTGATCGTCACCTCGCTGTTGTTGAATGCACGGCTCTCCAGCTGACACCAAAAATACAATGACTCATTTACATTGAGTTCCCACTGCCGAAACACGTGCATTAACATATAATTATTATTTTTGTAACCGTCAAACCACTTGATAAGTGTGAGTAACTCTTTATAAATCTGTATAAATAAAAAACGTATCATGTAACTCCTTAATATCAAGCTATCCAGTACGTGTATGTAGTGGTGGCTCACCTCTTGTGGGGTGTATCTGAATATCTCGTTGTTGTCTCTGTACCACTTGACGGAGTGCAGTGGCGGGTCTCGCGGCTGACGCGCGTAGTGACAGCGCAGCTCAGCCTCGCGCCGCGGGTCCGCCCACAGCGGCACCTCAAGCAGCGTGATCGTGTGTGGCACGCTGCGTGCTATACATACATACATCTCTATCAAGCTCGCTCAAGGTCAACGTCTGAATGTGCGAGTTACCGTAGCTTTCTAAGACCAAAACCACTGTTTAAAACATATTGTTATTTCTGGTTTGTCAAAAATATTGACAGGTATTTTGGTCTCAAAAACCAACGTTTAGCGATATAAATTGATCGCCGTTAATCTTCACTCTTAAAATACTTGCCGTTCTACATTTTGTTCAATTGGCAGTGGAAACACAATCTCAACAAAAATACATACGGTACTATGAAATAAGTAACACCTTAAATTACTTCTAATCTCTTTAGTTACATAATTGCAAAAGCGTCACAATTGCGTCAAGACCTCAACATACAGTTATCCTGTTATACTTTTGGCTATTCATTTTATTTAAGATTCAAGATAGAAAAACAAATTAGATGTTATTAAAAAAAACTGATCGAATTGTTTGATTTCATTCTTATTTCCGTATTTCTATAAATGCAATTAATCATTCCACGCAAGGAAATAATTTTATTACAAACGAATGAGGTTTCGTGCTGCCGCAGGACGGATCAATTTCAATATCGCACGAAACTATACAAAAAAGTTAATGTTTCTTTTGGTTATCGTAGCTAATGATATATTCCAACTATGTTTTTTACTTTCATATTTATTTATTTTTTTACACCTAACATAACTTAGGAGTTATTTACTTTAACATTGTCTTAAAGGTTATCAATATTAACGTTTAAAAAAAATGGTTGATTTGAACGAACAGTATACATACTGTATTAAAATAGCGCTCATCAACAAGAAGTTCTTTTATCTTGCAGATACAATTATTGTACTATGTATAATTGTATGTTACATATTTTGTTGGCAAACCTTAATAAATAAATACTCAAGCGAGTACATGGCGAGGTGCCCGTGGCATATACAAAACTTAATTTATTATTTACAAAAAGTCGACAGTGTTACATTTTATTTAAATAGTCGTATTTGCTTACTAACACAAAAGGGCAGAAGGAAAGGATATCGCTAAATCTCTTCCAGGAGATATTTGATTATTTGACTTGTACTCCAATCCGTGACTTTATTTACCTTTGCTCGCAGCTAATTCCTTGAAAGCCTTCGAGCAAAAGATCCTGTTGTAGTTTCTTAATACGATTTAAGTTCATGTAAATTAATGAAATAATTAAGGATAGTCGTTTCAGTTTAAAATAAAATATTTTCATGATTTTTTTAATTGAATGATTTTTAGTAGAAGTAATTAAAAGTTGTGAGCCAAATTATATATAGATAATAGTTTTTCCCTTTAATAGTAAAGTTAAAACAATTAAACATTTGTACGTTGTATTCCTGTAACTATATGACCTTTCCTCTATAAATGTGACACTCACCTCTGAATAAAGTAAAATATCACGTATAGGTCAAAAGTGATATGACATATTGATTCAGTTAACTAGTTATTTAACAAAGCAAATGCCATCCAATGTTATTTCATGAAGTAACTTAAATATTATTAAAATATTGCCATGTTAATTAACTAATTTTTAATAATATTTCTTTGACCTAAGTTAGAAAATCAAAAATTACAATTTCTATCATATTTCACAAACTTTGGTTTTCAAGAATGAAAAAACCGATTGTTTTTTTTTTAATTATTCATGAAATAGATAAAAAATAAACTAAACTGTTGATAGTGTTTTTTCTTCGTCGCGTTGATTTTGCATTGAAAATTCAGATATATCTAGAATATAATATTTATAAACCGGTAGATAATATAACATTATATTATCGCTCACACTTGTGGAATTCGTCATGCACATGACATGTCAAAAGTTATTATCACGTCCATACACTTTTCGATTAGCAAATCGTTCATCGGATGTTACTTTGTTTAGAGCACCCATTACAGTTACTGGTATAACTACTACCGCACTTTATAATATTTGGGTCATAAAGTTCATCTTTGTGTAATACGACCTTAAAGCGGTCGTTGTTAGTTCAACAATGTTTGTTCATAAAATAAAACTTTGCACCAACTTCAGCATTGTTCTTCCATGTTAAAATAGCTCAGTCAATGTTTGCCGCCGGTGCTCCGCGCGCTACCAAAATAATTAGACAAGTCATAAGTTTTAAATGAACTGTACATGGAACTTATTTCTGTATGAATGTTCAGCGACAAAGTTTTGTACGGACATGAAAATGAAAGGATAACATATATTAATTAGTACTACAATAAAAACATAACTCACGCTCGTAACCCAGAGGGGTAAGCAGAGACCACAGACCTGCCTGAGAATATTTCCTCTCCTATGGGTCCCATCTATATAATCGTATGCGTCAAAATCACTTTTCCTTCCAATCGTTTCTTTTTAAAAAGAGCATCGGATAGAAAGAAAACTAAAATTAGGCTTTAGCACACATGCACATCACACGAAACGCGGAATTATTTCCACTTCACGCCTGTCTTTTGACACGTTGATACTTTTTTGAGGTATAAATATCGTATCGTACTCAAGGATTAGATATTGCAGTTAATTCTTATATTAAGCTGTTAATATTCCCCAATAACGATATAGATATTTCTGTGTAAGCTTTAATATCGTATCATCAGTGTCAAAGGAGTTATACAGCTTTGTGAGTAAGCCCACTTCAGAAGTTTGTTGCTAAGTCGACGTAGCCTAAGAGACAAAGTTACAGGATCAATAGACAAAATTCATATAATAAGTAACAATAATTAAGATAACATTATAAAGCTATATTAGCGTAGATATTTGTTTTACGATCTCATTACCTTTTTACATCTTTCTACGAATTATTTTTCATGTTACGTAATGTCGGAAGCGATTGTTTTGCGATGCGAGGTCCCCGCTCCCCGGTGTATGTACATATTCATGAAACATTCTTAATTTACGGTCCCATAGAGGGCGCTCTACTTTCGGCATATGATTAGGTAACGATAAGTTTTAAGTGAAGCAAATATGGAACTCCCAGAGAATTCGCAATGCGGGCAAAACTTTGTCCTAACTAAATGAGAAAATCTCTCAACATGTTTAAGATTAATTTCGGGAATATTTTTATATGTTTTTTAGAACAAACTACGAATTAACTACCGAATAATGTACAATAACAGATGAAGAGTAAATGTCGAATCTCACTGCCGTTACACTCGTGTCATACATATTTTTATCTCTTTCATTATTGTTGACAATACAGAGACAAAATATATTAATGCAAATGTCAAATTCTATGCTAACAGTAAATAGTTCTTATGACGTTTGGGAAAATAGAAACCAATTAAAATAAGTAATATATGTACAAATTAAAACGTTTTATATTTCTTGTTTAGCCATTTTTTGTGTTAAAAATATTAATTGTTGTTACTATTTACAAGGATTAACTAAATCGGTATGATTTCGAAGTAATAAAAAAGTTACTTGTTATTTTTACAACTGTACGAAAATATGGTTTAAATCAATATGGTTTATGTGTTGCTCTTTATTCCATTACCTCATATTTGTAAAATAATAACAAAGCCAGTGCGTGCGGAATGATTAGAATCACATTAGACTGTATTCGATACTAGCAGGCAATCACACGCCAACACTGAAACAAGCATGAATAACAATTGAATAATATTTTCATGTAAAAACTTTCTTTTCTAACAGCCTCAACCATGAAACTTTTACCTTGACATGGAGAAATAATTAGGGAACCTACTTTTGAATTGCTTAATAACCATAACACAACGGCTACACTTTAGCTGTACCTATACAAAATCCTAAGGTATGGATGCGCAAAATGGAGATGTCGGGAGAAAAAAAAAATAATCATTGATAGAGTAACCGTAGGTTTCTGACACATAATCTCTGTATAAAACATATCTGCTTCCCAGTTTTTAAACAAAAAGAGATAAAAAAATATCACGGTGTTTTTGGAATGTTAGTATAGAAATATAGTTTAGTATGACTGCTGCTCTTTTTCTATAACAATTGCAATGAATAATTAACTATATATGTCCTATTCCTATGTTATTAAAAAATGTAATGTTAAATGGTTACTTAAGTTTAAAGACAAAAAAGATATATTTTTTTAACGTAGGTTAACCTTTGTTAGTTTAGTTATACCTTTTTTACAAACAAACCCTAGCATAATCATTTTACTTTTCCTTACCCTAATTATCTCTATTATAATACACATGAGAAATAAGACTCGTATAACTTATTTTTTTAACTTATCTGTAGGTATTTATATACAAAAACTAGTTATTATTAGTCAGTCATAATATTTGGTTTAGAGTTTATGAGTAAAATTGTCCCGGGCAGAGCTCGCTACAACGAGTGAAATGCGTGGGGGTGTGGAGGGGTCAGGAGGGGGGGGGGGGAGCAGGTCGCCAGCTCCTTGAATATTTATTAACCAGCTCCGATTCTTTAACTATTAACAAGTTCAAGCGTTAACAGAGTTAAGATTAAGTTTAAAAATACTGTTGTAATATTTATATTAATTTCAAGTAAAATGGATAAATGGATATATATGATAATAAAATAAAATTATTAAATAGAAAAATCTATTAACATAGAAGCTAAATTATTAAAGTATGTTAAAAGAAATAATACTGAAATGATAAAGTACTCACTTCAGGTTGTGGTCTATAATTCTACTGAAATATTTTTCCTTTTATCAATGAATTACTTTGATTTTAGACTCATACTTTCTTAACACGTATTGTCTCTTCCATTGATATCCACTTACGAGTATACTTTACTGTCAAGGAAATGTCTAATTTAACTTTTGAAGTCACAGTAAGCTGCAGTAAGTTCAGTTTATTGATTTTCAAGCATATAAAATGTTTTATTCATAGCGAATCTATGCAGCAGCTGTGGTTGCGCGAAGCTTGAACATTTTTATTTTTGAATTATTCGTTTACACGTGACATCGTGGTTAAGTGAAGGGAACGGTCGTTTAATATTATATTTGATAAAAATAACAGATAAAAGGTTAATAGATACTATATGTATAGGTAATATAAAGTCTAGGCTTGTTCTGAGGGATCTCTGGAGATGCCTCAGAACAGTTGTACAAGGATGGCCACCGAAGTGATATTAGTGAGCCAGGTCCTGGTCCAAAATCCTGTCTTCCCCCCCCCCTCCAAAAATGGCATGTTCTGAGAAGAAAACAGATGACAATGTGAACAAATATAGAGGTATTTTGTTTGCATGATAGGACATGAAGGAAATAATGTTTGTAACTGCGAATAGATCGGGAGGTGAAAAATCCTGTACGCTTACCCTACAATAAGTTGGCTAAGTACTGGAAGATGATGATTATTTTTTAATAGTATTCAATAAATAAATTACACAGAACATTAATATTATCCTAGAAATAGAACTAGAACAGAGTTAATTCAACGCATGAATAAATGTTACATTTTAATTGAGTTAAAACATGAAACTCATGTCGGAATCCAATTAGCAGAGGAAAAATACGAGAGGAAATTCTGCAGGTAAATGGAACAGAATAAGAACTAAACATTTCATATGAGCAATGTAATGATTTATACTTCGTTATGTCACCGGATGTTTCCGAAACTTGTCTTTTTTAAATTTTACTTACGTACGTATTAGAGTCGTATTCTTCTCCAACCACTTTGGTTTTTTTTAACTTCTTTTTTCTTTTTTGTTTATTTCGTCAACATAACCTTAAATTATTATTCTACACTTATTTTTCTTCTACCGTAATATTATTTATTTGACAACTTTAAAGTAATAACATACGCAAAATATCATTTAATAATCCGGCGAGTAGCCTTCAACAGTTTAATTTTAAAAATGTCGAGATAGGATACTACAGAATTTTCAGGTTAATCTCTCTAATTTAAATTAAAATAGTAGCTTCAAAGGGATAATTTCAAACCAATAAGAGCCAAAATTATCATCCCTAACTTTGGGAAGGATTAAACCTATGGGGGGAACGTGCGTATGAGCTATCACAATAACAAACATTAAGATAATGTTAATAACAATTGTAATCCACAAAATAACAAGAACGATATATGTACAGGGTGTTTAATAATGAGAACTCACAATAAACTTGTTCAATCTGTACCATCGTTGAATTGTGTTAAATGCAGCGGAAGACTGGCGTTATTTTCTCATTCATGACAACGTTACTAAAGAAAAAAAACTAAAACGGATCTCGTTGTAATTAGGTCTCCGTAGGTCACGAACATTAATGACTTTACGGGCGGGTTGTTTGCGTGTTGGTACAATTTTATTTTGTTAAAGTAACGCCTCACATAGAGGCATTTTATGATGACTTAAACTTTAAGTAACCTTTTAGTCACGCCCGTAGATGCAATGATAAGTCCACGGAGTGCTTGGTATGAAAGGAACTGTAGGACATGGAAAGATCCCCTATAAGATGAAATGACCAGATCAGAACAGCTTTGGCCAGCCCCTTGCAAAAACCACATACCGCAGGATACATGATGGCAGGGATCACTCTGACAAAGCTGCAACGGAATAGAAGAGGAACAGTCCTTTAGTATTTTTTTAGTATAAGTAGGTACACTTTAATGACTAAGTCTGGAATTGATTTATAATAAATAGCTGTAGCTTCTTCAATAATTGATGTAACATTCCATTTAAAAATATTGCTAATTATGTCATAAAAAATAATATTTTTTTCCTCAGAATGTGCTGCTTTATTTTTTACAACGTATTTTTTTAAGTTGTAAAAACACATTCGTGTATTCTTTAATTCACCGATATTACTCTTTTCAAATGAGATTAATATTTTTTATTACAGCCGTCACGTTATGATACTAAACCTAAATTGCTACAGATAAAAAACATATCTTGTGGTAACTTTGTCTGTTAGTCTTGCCGAAAAAAATAAAAAACATGAAAATTTATTTATTTATTAACATTATATGCGTTTCTCTTCAACCAATAGTATTATATTATGTAGAGATCTAAGCTCATTCTTTAAATAAATAAATGTAGGAGACTGAACAAGAGCCGAGCTCATCTAGGATTAGGAAGAATTAGACGAACCGGTAACCTTTTTATTTTCTGGAAATATTTCATGTCGCCTAGAGGGCATAGTTTTTTTTCCTATTTGTTAAAACCCTTATATTTCGATACAAATATTAACAACATTATTATTCTCTTAGTATCTTAAATACAATCGCTTTTATTTTTACCTAATTAAATATTAAAAATATATTTACTGATTGATAAAGTTTTGGACAGATGGATGGAAATAACCAGGGCTTTTATAAAAGCTCCTTAATGTGATTAATGAATTTTATGAAGGTGATTTAAATCGCTTTTATGTTGACCGGTTTTAAAGTTATTAAGCTTTTATTATAATTACTATTTCAATAATGGAGTAGTTTGTTTTCATCGACTATAAATTATTATTTTCTAAAAGGTTTAATTTGACATCTTGCGCGTAAAGGTGATGTTTACATAATAGTACTTATTTGTTATCATAAACTCACCAACAAACATGACCAGTAGCAGCAACACGACCATTTTCATTACATCAACTTCACAATCACACAAAAGCCATAGTAATCATTTATTAAACATCAAAATCACATTTTATGCGAACATTTCACATTTTAAACTATTTCAACTGTAATCTCCTTCATTATTTCGCATTTAAGACACATAACTTACATACAAACCGAACCGAACGTATTTTACGAGTACGTGATCGGAGCGAGTGCGTAGAGATACATACGTGCGCTTTCGACGACCGCCGGTTGCGAACTGAGCGCGAATGTCAAAGTGATAAGATAACTAGGGGTGCGCGCGACTTTGCTCGACGCACCGCTGAATATAGTGCGACTAACTAATCTGGCCCGGTGAGATGTGCACTTATCGTGGTTAGTTTTTGTCAGAAATAATTGTAGACCCCAGCAACAACATCGTCTGTTGCATGAATAGGCCGGCTCGACTCGTGCAATACGAGATCACGTACGACTGCCGGAGGCCTATTATAATCCTCTCTCCAGTCCAGTCGTTTTCTTTGTATTTGACGGAGAAGAGGACGCATAGGAAGGAGAAACATTCACGTGTGCGTTCACTCCTTCATTGATGTAGCCAAACCAAAAATATTAAGGTCTATGAACAGCGGTCGCTTCGCTATTACGCGTATAATGTAAAAAAAGTAAATATATCAAATCTACATAGGCATAGAAAATGGCAGAAAAGATAGGACAGTCCGATACTTTTCTAGCTATCTATATATCCCACCGGGTCAGATAAGTTAATGAGACTATATTTTCGGAAGCTACCATCGGATATGAATGTACCTGTGCCGAATGTTGGTAGTTAATTAAATTTTGAGGTTATCAAGGTAACGGTATTAGTAATAAATATTGTTCTAGGTAAGTACAAGTTGAGGCAATTCCGTAGCTAATTTTGAAATACGTAATATACGATATGTTTCATTTAATTATATAATTGCTTTAATTAACATAGTAAGTGAGTTATTATGTTACACTTATCTTTTAGGTGGTTAAGTAGAGGTTTAGTTTAATTCTCATTAAATATAATGTCTAATTTAAACTCGTTGAATAAAACATTCACATATATAATACTATAACTATTTACGTTTACATAAGGCCACATAATATTTAACGGAGCTGAAATTTGAAACATGATTTAGATTTTAAATCACTTTACAGCCTAGAAGCTTTCACATCAACAGAGCAAGTTAACCACATGTTACAAATCTTATAGCAAGCTAAATATTGGCATGAAAATTCAAGTTTAATTTTTTTTTTATTATTATATACCTGCCAGTGTGTTTATAAGATAACTAAAGGGCGACGTAAAGTGCAATCAAAGATAGTCTCACATCTCGTAATAGCACAAATATTCATTTAATAAATTGCTATTGTATTTTATTTAGTTTTATTAACTTCATCTGTTAATGGGTGAACTAAGAATCCTTAATTGATCACCAAGAAGGTACTAGTTATGTACACTTTATGCCGTGTTTACATTATGCCAGCACAGTAAGACAGTAACGATGTATAAGCTCAATAGCGCCAGTTAGACTTTACGTTATTCCAGTTGTATGCCAGCGCTGATTTAAGGCGCTACAGAAGTACTGTACTGGAGTAATATAAACACACCATTACTTCAGTGTTAGACCCAGCATACATCGCCGTGCGGGCCGTGCACGCCGCGCATGCGCGAACCTCATTTGACATTTAACGTATAACAATATTTCTTTTTATCGCATAATTTTAATGCCTCGACTATAAAATGGCTATAAAGTGTAATCGCCTAAACCTTATTCTTAGAATTATAGGTCGGAATGAATTCATTCTCTTATCATTCAACATCTAAACTTCTTCATTTTACGATTCTTTTTTTATAAGTTTAATTTAATGCTTTCACTAAAATAACAACGACGACATTCTTATACCGAAGTACCCGGCTGCTAGTATTACTCGCTTGAATTTGCAAATGTATACTTAAATTTTGGTTTATTGTGTTTTGCAGTACTATTAAATAAATGTAATGATTACAAACTAAATTCTTAAAATATCTCGCCATCAAGAATGTAATGGACCCATCAAACATTCAAGTTGATGTGTGTCGCTCTACTTCGCCTACGACGCTCTCGGAACGCGAACTAACGCGGAGTGCAGGCACAATCATAGTCAGCGTGCCCGTTGATTTTATATAAACAAACTGTTAAATTAAAACGTAAATTAAAAAGATTCTTAATAATAATAATTCTAATATACTTTTTTATCTTTATGACTTTTTTATCTTGTGCTCTTTATGACTTTTTTATCTAGCCTTAGTGTCAAATAAATCTTTGTCAGAAGTATAATATAACTACGTTACCTTCACAACTTAAACTCTCTACGTCTTTATACTTTTTTTTCTAGTTTATATGATTATAGTTGAAGTAACCAGCTCATTTATAAGCCGTCAGCTTAGGGCGGTATTTATGTGCCGTCAGCTTAGGGCTCATATTTATTTGAGGCGCGACCCACCGCGACCCACCGCGACCCACCGCCGCTCTCCAGCGTTTTAAGCGCTTTTTCTTGATTTGATGTCGTAAACTTTGTACAACGTGCTGACTGCGCGGCTCACTGCGCGGATATAACGAATGTACAAGTATAAAATTAAAGCCATTTTATTTGTTTAAGTTGAAGAAATGCAGATTAAATTCGTTACAAGATATTAAATGTTAGTGAAGAGTCGAAGATTGTTTAATACTATTGTGGTATTTATGTTAATACTAAAGGTGAACATAAATTTAATAACAAAGTTATTAGAAAACCAAAATTTGTTAAATGAAAATTTTAATCCGTAGCCGCGAACCCTTTTCTCTGCGGTTAACTTTGTTCTCCGACTTTGAAACATTCGCTATGCTTTTATGAAAGTTTGTAAAATATATTTGCCGCCATTATCCCAGGGGCGCGCAATAAAAGCTGCATCTCCCCGCACAATAGTTGTCACGACGCAATAAATATACATTTCCAGCAATAAAATATTCCGAAGCGTTTAAATAAAACGGACCAAAAGAACGCAACTTGCCACAATACCACTAGAACAATAGATACAATCTTTTTCTAAGTCACGTTGAATTACAATAGATGCACATGCATACAATGCAACAAATTGTTACTACACGCTGTACACACAACTCATTTAAATGTAAATTTTACTATCATAAACATTTCTGACTTAAATAATCATCTGAAAAAAAAATACGTTTACAGCAACACAAGTTAATAACTAATACGACTTAATTGAAATTGATTATCTACACACACTAATAAAATTTGAGATAAACCTGTCTGTATGTGTGTCTGTTCGCTGGGCAACGTTTTTTCGTATAATATCCGGAATGGCTGGACCAATTTTGATGGGATTTGAAAGGAAGGTACGATTCACGGCGGGATGTTTTAGGCTACTTTTTAATTCCTCGCTGACGGAATAGCGGGCGACAGCTAGTCTGTAATAAACTGAAGCTTTTACTATTCAATTTTAACAAAAAAAACGAGTGCCTTTCAAATGAATGTATCTCCGAGAATTCAAATCCATTCCATCTTCTTTCGCGTATGATAAAGAAAGACAAGAGAAAGGAATATACATAACTAGACGATTTAAATTAATTCCCTATTAATGTTAAGTAATATTAGTAATTAATTGTAACATTGCATGCGACGTGTACACTGATAATCCGCTGCTTTGATAGTCAGCTAATTACTAAATATCCAGCTATTCGGTAGCAATACCTAGTTAAAATCAGCCAGTTATCCGATTATCGGATTCTACTAATAACAGGATCTAAATATCCAACAAAACCGACGACAAACCATAGATAAGTATCACCAGTAAATATATAATTCGATTAAAGATTAATTGAAGGAGATTTGTTTTTTGTTCTCATACAAAAACTATATTAAGGTGGTACTACTTAGTGGTCAATGAACCTCTCTGAGTTCAGCAGTAAACGGTATAAATATTATATAAAACCAATATAGATTAATATGAAAGCGATAAATTAATTTTCATTAAGTTCATTTAATCAATTAATTTATTTGTGATAAAACACAATTGTTAAAATAAAATGATATAGTTAAAATCCTTAAATCGTTATAATCGGATTAAATAAAACAAATATGATTATATTCAACTATCTATAAAGATTATAAACTAGTTAAATCATAAACTGGCTATAGTCTAAAACACTTGATAATGTATAGTTCTGATCTCCGCAGTATAATCATTTCAAAAAGTTGCCACATTAAACACAGCGAGCATAACGAAGGAAAGCTGGTATTTAGTAATAAAAACGGGTGCAATATCGAGTCGAGTACTTCCTCATTTTTTCGGCAATAAAACCTCGCAGCCGGGCTGTTTGTTTCTTGTCGTAACGCTACGCTTCCTTGGATTTTATTTTCACACGAGTAAAAGTACACAAAAGAGTGGAAAGTAAGTGAAGACTCGTGAGGGCATTAAAATATATAGCCCTTAACCCGTATTCGTGATCCGCATACATTTTATTCCGCGTTACGTTCGCCCTCAGATGATTTTTAGTGTATAATATTCCGCGGCCTGTTCCTGTGCCGTATTCATAGTCAGTCACATTTAATTATATCATTAATTAGTTTAAACTACGTTCAGAGTTTGCGTTTCATCTAAAGAAATTGGTTATCGTATAGTCATTAAGATTATTTACATTTAAATACGTCACTTTTATATAGAAAACTCTTGTACAATTATCTGACAGTAGTAAATTTTAGAATTTGTAAATGATATTTTCACCGAAAAATCCCTTACCTTGCTTATGATATGTATTATAAAATTTTCGACAATATGCGTTGTTTTGCAACACAACATTTACCACAAAATCTCATCACAAAGGTTAGGATATTAGTTGAATCTGATATCCGAAACGGATATTGTTGCCGTTTCGCTTAAACGCCTGTCAGATCCCTTGTCCCTTTGGTGTGAGTCCCTTTGCCTCAGAGCGTGTTCATTTCAATGGCAAACAACACAGATGTGCTTGTTACTAAATATAATTTATACAACAACCATCACAAAGTCATGTTCCTTTACCATTCCATTTTCTTTAGAAAGTGTAAGTTTGTTTTATCTTACTTCTTACTAAACCTTATATTATAAATGCGAATGTAGGATGGATGGATCGATGTTTGTTACAATTTATCTCCAGAACGGCTGCATGGATCTCACTGTAATTTAATTTAGACGGA